AATTCACTGACTGAGTAATATTTCATCAGGTGTGTTGCTGATGCAAAAGCTCCAGCGTGGAGGGGCACTGTCCTGCTGGAATAACATGTTAATAATGTCTATTAGTGCTGCATAAGAAACTAAACATTATTCTTGCACTTGTAACAAACAATGTGTGTCTGTATTAAATGGTCTTTCCAACATTATTTTTCAAAAGTGTTTCCAAGATTTTTGGATCCCAGCGTTAATTAGTAAAATTTAATTACAGTATTGATAGTGTTTTTGTTCAAATTGGGTTTCAATAACCATGTGGTGTAACAAGTTTATTATTGTGTATTTATTTTTAATATGAGCATTGTTTGGATTGAATTTGTGTTTAGAAATATGCGTGACTTGTAGTATCAGATATGTGTTGCGTATAACGAATTTGTTATATATTTATTTTAATGTTGACGTTTGTTTCGATTAAGTTTATATTTGAGGGTGTGTATAGCTTACCTAGTTAGTTACGTATGGCAAAACTTCCGCCAATTCTCCAAGATTGTAGAATATTAGTGAACACAAGAATCAACAATATATCTACTTCCGTAACCAGTTAAATATAGCATCTATAACAAGCACCGTGCCAAAAACAGAGAACAGGGAATATACAAGTCTACGAGGAAACTGTTATAATTGCATAAGCTATAAACGGTGATTTTGCTAACCCTTATCAACCGGAAAATATACGATATTTGACCAGGAACAGTTATAAATTTCGAACGTCATTGAATTCTCATCAAATGTTAATATCTGTCCAAAAATATTACTTATTTCTCATTGGACATTAGTGATTTTATGAAAATATTATCTTACTTCAACGGTCCAACAATTCAGTTCAACAAAGCTAGCTAATTTCTTGACAGTTGTACGTACAACTCGCTGGATATCAAGGAGACTCTGAACTAGGAAGATGATTTTAGGCTATTTGTAAGTTAGTGAAATTTCTGTTTATGAAACTTTGTTTGTAATAACTAATCATAATAGTTGCCATTGTAAATTATACTGCTGTATGTATGTATGTATATATATATATATATGTATATATTAAAACATATTTGTGTCAAAAACAAAAACGGTGTGAAACAATCTTGTTGGCAAATAACATAAAT